ATAAGTATAATATAAAATAAAAAATAGAACTAAGTGAAAAAATTTTAAGGAGGACTACACCAAGTTGATTAAAAAAGGCTTCAGATGATGATGATGATGATTGTATTATAAATATTGGTCGTGCTGTGATTCCGTTATCGCTCCGAACAAATGCAGCAATAAGTCTTTATTTAAAACTGGTACTTAGTATTTAATTTTGTTAGAATGTCATAATTTATTTCACAATTATTCTTAGGTTCAGCTGTAAAAGACGTAAAGATCTGTATAGTAAGATGGCGTAGGTATAAAAGGAAATTAGAAAACTTTTTAATGGTTTAGAACATAATCAAAAAGTAATTTAGCAATAATGAAAATTAACAAAATATAACTTGTCTGATATATTATTATAACTTATAACTTTATGAAACCTAGTTATACTATACGTTTTACTTAACAAAGCAACTATAAGATATATCTATAAATACACAAAAATATCTCAGCTTGTTCAACACATATTGATTTTAATTTGTCCTGAATGTTAAGGGAAAAGGGTTGAGCGAGGGTCTGAATCCGAGCGTGGGTACATCCCTGTTTAGTCACGTCACTCAACGGTAGGGCAACCACCGCTTTAGCCATTTAGCCAGCCCGTTCACGCCTCGACAACGAAGCCCAATATCTAAGGCTGGGTTCTTAGCTACGTAAACCTTTATGAGCCAATTTTTTTAGTGCTTAAATTTTATTTCTCTAATCCAACGTAGTGCGGCCGTAGTTTCAGCCAATTTGTAAGAAAATATCTTTTTTACCTAGCTATTTAATATCACATTGCCTTGTTCATTCCAAGGAAATATTAAAGTAATTTTTAATGGATTATGAAAACAGTTGACTGTATAATAACAATTTTTAATGATAATTGCTTATGGTTATGTTAAATTCTTTAATTTACCTTTCGGCTCGGGACCGCCATTTTGTAATTGTTAATTTTGTCCGCAATAACAAGGAAGGTAATTCAAATATTTTGCTCTGAATGTAGTAATAATTACGTGTTGTTTGTTTTTCGAAACGAATGGATTATTTCAGGTTTATATAAGACTTTGAATGTTTGTTATTATAATGAAAATTATATTAAAGTTTTGTTATTGTCTGTTACCTATTTTAAAATGTAAATAAAAGTTGTTTTTGTATCTAAGTAAAAACATCTCGGGTGGATCAAATACTTTATGGTAAATTCTCTCTATAAAGAATATCATTTGTGTGCCTTGATGGCAAACTGCTTGCGATGAAAATTTATAGTTTTTATTTATATTCAATATACTGAGCGTTACATTTTATAACACAACATTATTATTTACGTCAATGAAAGGATACACATTGTAAGTATTCAGCACAGTAATTCGCACTTAGCCTATAGACAAAAGAATTAGGTACTCTAGGTGGTAGATAGGAATACATCAATCTATGATCAGGTAACAAAGACACAGCGAATATCATGAACAGTATCAAAAATCAATTTTCTGTATCTTAAATGAAAAAAAAACAACATATTAGTTTTGCAGTTTTAATTTTTTTTATTCCTTCGCTTTGCTTAGTAGAAATATTTACCGCAGTTAGACAATAACACGTTAATATTTACCTAGAATATTACCTAGTAGACTACATGTGTACCTGGTAACTAATGATAGGTACATTCCCCAGGCAAATCGGATTTAAACCCGTATTTAGCAAACTGCGGCGACAAGATAGGACTCGTACATTAATATACAAATTAAGGGCAAGACAACTGTTCTCTATTTATTTATTTAATGTTTGTTATATTATATGCTTTGTCTATGTAAGTTCTTTTTGTAATAGAGCAGGAGGAACGCGTCTTTTTTTAAGGGGGAAATATCATCGAATGACTTCTTCCGCCTGGATTAGGTGGAAGGGAGTGTCCGACTCTTA